CTCACTGAGAAGGTGACATTTCAGCAAAGACTTGAAGGACATGAGGGAATGAGCAGTGCAGCTATCTGAGGGGACAGCAGAGAGAATGATCACCTCAAAGGCCCTGAGGTAGAAGCAGGCTTGGCCTGCTTGTGGAGCCAGTTTAGATGGAAGAAGTGAAAAAGGGTGAAATAGTGAGAAATGAGGACAGGAAGGTAATGGGGCCCAGATGTTCTAGGCCTTGTAGATCTTGTACTTTGAATAGAGTAGGGATCTATTGAAGAGTTTAAAACAGAGGAGGGCTGTGATCTACCTTATGTTCAAAAGGATTGCTCTTTATTCTGGTGTTGTGAATGGACTCTGAGGAGTCGGGAAGATGGGAAGTAGGGTAAGCAGTTAAGAGGCTATTGTAGTAATCCAGGTGAGAGAATGGTATTCTGGACTGGGGTGGTACCAATGGAATGGTGAAAAGGAGTCATATTTTGAATCTATTTTGAACATGGAGCAAGTATGATTTCGGGACTGATTGGATGTGGGGGTGTAACAAAGGAAAGCCGGCAAAGATGTCTACAAGGTTTTTGGTCTGAGCAATTGGAAAGATAGAATTGCCATTAACTGAAATGGGGAGGCTATTAGTGGAGTGGTGGTAGGTGGGAAAACACAAGTTCAATTTTGAGCATGTTAAGTCTATTAGTTGGAAATTTGCAAACACACACACAAAAGTAGAGAGATTAGTCCAGTGAACACCCTCACTGCTTCAGCAGCTATCATATTGTATCTGTTCTTTTTTCACTCAGGTATTTAAAAACAAATGCTGGGCAACATAATGTTACCTATGAGTACTTTGGCATATATCTCTAATAGATCAGAACTTCTGTTTTCGTTTTTAACAAAACCACAGTATTTCAACAAGACTTGCCTGGATTTAGACAAATACAATATTGTGGTTTAAATTTTGTTTTTTTTAATGTACACAGTCTTTCTTTCTTGTGAGTCCTGATATCCAGAAACTAGGCCTACATCCAAGACCCTCAGTACAGCATCTGGTCATTCAAGCTTCAGGGCTGGGGTCATTAAGTGGCCAGTCACTCCTGTCCAGTTTTCATATGGCCCAGAGTCATCAGGAGGCAGGAAGTGGCTGTGCCAGCACAGTTGTGGGTGGGCTCTGGGGCTGCACCTGCTCAGCGCAATGCAGGAAGTGGCGCACCTGCTCCACATAGTTGCCTGTAGCTGCCTCATTCCGTGGCAGACACTCCTTGAAGGCCTCAAAGGGCTCCGCACAGGTTTGGCAGATCTGATGGATAACTGGGTGGTTGGAGGTGCATCGAGCAATCCTCATCTTGAGGTGGTGACAGTCCCGCTGCCAGGGCTTGGTGGCCACACATTATCCATACTGGTCCACCTCCCGGCTATAGTGGCAGGCAGTGTACCTCTAGCCCCCCCTGCATGTTGAGGCAGGTGGCAGGGGAATCAGTCTGGGGGAAGCGCCCACCTTTGCTGGTGTCCCAGCATTGTATTTTTTGAAAATATATTTTTATTGATTTTTTTAGAAAGAGAGGAAAGGAGAGAGAAACATCAATATGAAAGAAACATCGACCAGTTGCCTCCTGTACACACCCGACCAGAGATTGAACCCGCATCTTGGGTATGTGCCCTGATGGGGAATTGAACTAGCAACCTTTTGATGCACAGGACAACGCTCGACCAACTGAGCCACAACAGCCAGGGCCAGTATTGTATTTTAAAGTCTCAATTTTCCTCCTAAAAGATAACCCAGGAGGAATTACCTTATGAAAGAATTATTTTTTTAAATCTTCACCCAATATTTTTCCATTGATTTTTAGAGAGAGTGGAAGAGAGAGGGAGAGACAGAGAGAAACATCGATGTGAGAAAAACACAATTGGTTGCCTCCTGCCTGAGCCCCAACCAGGGCCTTGAAAAATGAAGACAGGAACCAAGCAACCAAGGTATGTGCCCTTGACCAGAATCGAACCCGGGACACTTTGGTCCTCAGGCCGATGCTCTATCCACTGAGCCAAACTGGGTAGGTGTTTTTCCCCCCAAAGTATTGATTAAATACTAGCTTGAAGTATGCTTATTTGGTACATAAACAATATAATGTAGGGAAATTAAATATACATATCCAAACTTTAGGCTATCGCATAAAACACTATTTAGTCACTTTATGAGGAGGCATAATAAGAAAACATGTTCCTATTCTTGTGAGCATAAAATCTAAAGGATTAGAATTACGAAAACAATTTTGCATTTAGCAATCATTTCACAAAGTGCTGAGAGGATTTGGAGTGAGTGGTCTGAGTAGTGCTTGGAATTCAGAGAATGTCTGGGAGGTTTGAGGATTTGTGCCTGTGTTTGGTTTTTTGTGTTTATGAATGTATATATATGTGTTTTACTTTTCTTGGGGGGACAGGGAGCTTAAAGTTTTCAAACATACACAAGTACAGAGAATAGCAAACACCCCCATACCTTGATCCCACAGATTCAGCTGTTATCAGCATTTTGCCACACTGGTTCTATCTATTCCTTTTTCAAGTTTGTCATTGCTATAGTTTAAAAAAACTATTTGAAATAATTTTAAATTTAAAGAAAAGTTGTAAGAATAGTACAAATAACGCCCATACTCCCTTCACCCAGATTCATTAACATTTTACCACAATTAGTTTTATATTTTTCTGAACCACTTAGAAGTTGTAAATATTATGCCCTTTTACCCTTAAATACTTAAGTGTGAATTTCTTAAGGTCAAGTATATTCACTTATATAACCACAGTATAATGAACAAAATCAGGAAATTTAAAATTGTTATAATACTATTCACTAATCTATAGCTCATGTTTGAATATTGCCAATCATTCTAATAATGTTCTTTATATGTTTTTTTCCTGGTCCAGAAAAGATCATGATTTGTGTTTGGTTGTGGTATGTCTTTAGCCTCTAATCTAGAACCATTCCTCATCCTTTCTTTGTCTTTTATTTGATTCCGGTTTAAATTTTTGTCAGAAAACACTACATAGTGATGATGTGTCCTTAGTACATGTAATCAGGAAGCTGATGATGTTGCTTTTTTCCGTTGTTCACTTGGCTATGGTAGGCTGAGCAAATTTCTGTAGCTATAGCTTTTTTAAAAAAAATATATTTTATATTTTAGAAAATAGATTACAGAAAAATTGAGCAGATAGGAGTAGGACAGAGTTCACATATTAAACTCATCCTATACACAATTTCCCCTATATTAACATCTTACATTATTATGATACATTTGTTACAGTGAACCAAAATCTATATGTCATTAACTAAAACCCATATATATTTAGATTTCTTTTTTTTTTTAAATATATATATATATTTTATTGATTTTTTACAGAGAGGAAGGGAGAGGGATAGAGAGTTAGAAACATTGATGAGAGGAGAAACATCAATCGGCTGCGTCCTGCACACCTCCTACTGGGGATGTGCCTGCAACCAAGGTACATGCCCTTGACCGGAATCAAACCTGGGACCTTTCAGTCCGCAGGCTGACGCTTTATCCACTGAGCCAAACCGGTCAGGGCTATTTAGATTTCTTTAGTTTTTATCTAATGTTCCTTTTCTGTCCCAGTTACAGTTGTCTCCTTGGGTTCCTCTGTCTATATCAGTTACTCAGGAGTTTCTCTCTCTCTCTTTTTTTTTTTTTTGTTAAACCTCACCCAAGGATATTTTTACATTGATTTTTAGAGAGTGGAAGGGAAAAGGGAGGGAGGGTGAGAGAGAGCGAGAGAAAGAAACAGAAACATTGATGTAAGAGAAACATCACTTGGCTGCCTCCTATACATGCCTGAACTGGGGAACCTAAAACCTAGGTATGTGCCCTGACTGGAAATCGAACCCACAACCTTTTGGTATACAGGGTGATGGTCTAACCAACGAAGCCACTGGGCCAGGGCTCTTGTGTTTGTTTCTCTTTATTTCCTATAACCTGGAAATTGGAGCCAAAAGCTCGATTAGATTCAAATTCATCTTTTAATTTCTCCACAGAAATACACTACCTAAATATTACTGTGTAGTTCAAATTGCATCACATCAGATGACATAATTTATAGCTGTCCCACCTTTCAGCATCCTTCCAGTGTAAAGTTCCATCAATTTTCTAATGATTTTAGCATCCATCAATGACTGTTGCTTAAATCAATTATTTATTAAGCATTCTTGCTCTGGTCCAGATTGTTTTCATTAGGTTAGTTTAATCTTTTATTGTCCTCCCCTGTTTTTCCTGGAGCAGACTGTTTAGAAAAGATTTCACCGTCCAGCTCTGTTTAGATCTCCAAATCCCGGAGGTCTGGGGACCTTTGAGACCGAGGGGGCATGATCTGTCTTGTTGAGGTGAATTAACCTAAGGTAGTGTTTCCTACAGTTCACACTTGAAGCACATAAAGCAGGTGGCTCTAGTTGTAACTGTGGGTGGGTTGCGGTTAAGGGAAGTTCGGTTGGAGGAAACCGAATTTCAGTGGATCTGGCAGTCTCTCCTTTCCTGGGGTCAAAGTCAAATACGTTTACTTGAAAGACCTACTAAGAATATTATTTAAACCCTAACCGGCTTGGCTCAGTGGATCCATCGTCGGCCTGCGGACTGGAGGGTCCCGGGTTCTATTCCGGTCATGTATCTTGGTTGCAGGCACATCCCCGGTGGGGAGTGCGCAGGAGGCAGCTGATAGATGTTTCTCTCTCATTGATGTTTCTAACTGTATCCCTCTCCCTTCCTCTCTGTAAAAAATCAATAAAATATATTTTTAAAAATAATATTCTTTAATAAGGCCTTCGCTCTTTTATTTTAGAAGGGCGAATTAAAGCACAGCCAATGAAAGGGTCCGTACAGGTTAGGTAAAATCAGGGCAGGGAGAATCCTGGGGGAAGGCTTTCAGGGATTTAATCTCGGAACTACACCTCCCAGAAGCCCGCTCTCCGGTTCCCACCGCCCAGAAGCGACTGCGCGTGCGCGAGGCCAGTGAAGCCCTGCCCTCGCCAGCCCCACTAACCCCGAGATTCGCGCGCTTGCCTCCCTATGGCCGGGATCGCCCCTCCCAGGCCCTCGGTCTGTCTACTGGGGGCGCGCGCAGTGCGTGGCAGGCGGTAGCGGCGCTGGCGGCTGAGAACGCGGGTCGTGCGGCGGAGCGTGGTTGCTAGGGGCGCCTGAGCCCTCCTGCCTGTCCCGCAGGCCAAAGGAGGAAGCCGCGCGGAGCCGGCGCCGAGTCGGGAGAAGCGGGTCCACTAGGTGAGTGTGGCTGCGGAGCCGGAGGAACGACCCTCCGCCGGCCCTCCTCTGCCCCGGTCCCTTCACGCAAGTCCCCGGCCCCCCGGCCGCTTCCGCTCCTGCCCGCCACCTCTCCATCCCCTGGGAGGCCGGGGGCCTCGGCCTCACCGGCCAGGACTTCGAGCCTTGCCGGAACCCGCCTCCCCCTTCGCCGCGCCCGAGAGTTTAGCGGCCCCGCCTCTGGGTACCCAAACCCCGCACGCCCCTCAGCCTAGGCCCCTGGCCGCCTCTTCCCGCCGCTCCGCGGTTTGAATTCTCCCTTGGATGTGAGCCCACGCTCCTCAAGGCTGAATTTAACACGGATCCCACCTTTTTACTTCCCCACCTTCAGTGCCTATAGAAAAAGACGCTCCTAAACTGTAGAGATTCAAACAGTATCTGAGGTCCTGTGGAATCTAACTCTTCATTTATCCACCCATCCATCCCTTCATTTAATCATTCAACAATTTAAAAGAAAAATCAGTAACTATTTAATGAGCCAGGGCACCATGGAAAGCGCTGGGAGGATACGGTGGTCTACGAGACAGGTGTGTTCACGGAGTTTGTAGTCCAGGGGAGGTTTTAATCAATTAAACAAGCATTTGCCATACTGTGTGGGGTGTGCTGCGGTAGAGCATTAGACTAATTTGGAACAGCATTATTCCCATTCCCTGGTCTTCACAGTCCTATTCTGGATCCAAGAAATGTTTTCATCCTTCCTTTATGGAGTCATCCGTCAGATAATCAGCGGTCTCCAACCTTTCGGACCTCACGGACCACCGGTTGGCTACCGCTGCCGGAGGTCCATCTTTCTTACAGCACCTGTTGATTTAGCTAATGGACAAGCTGCCCCTCCTTCTAATACTTTCTTCTTCATCGACACCCACCTGGTCACTAAAATCAGAAAATTAGGATCATTCCAGACTGCTCCTTGTCTCATTCTCCCTATGTCTACTCGGCCACCAGGTTTTGTCACTCTGGAGACCAGACTAGAGATGAGGGACTTACGGTGGTTGCAGTGGGAATGGAGAAGGTTTAGAGAGAAGTTAAAGACGTTTTCTCATTGGCTCCCTGCTTCCCTGCTAAAATTCTTCATATTCAACCCATGCACTGACACTATGGTATTCCCAAACACAAATCTGATGCTATTTTCCTGTTAATTATCTGTGATTTTCCTGCAACACACTCTTCAAATGGTTTTATTCATATATTCTCAGAAGAATTTTAAAAACCATGTATTTCTTGCACATCTTAAAGTGGAATTCAAAAATTTTTGATCACAAGTTTAAATAAGTTTCTTCTTTGTTAAGAGGAAGTAGAGCCCGGCTGGTGTGGCTCAGTGGTTGAGTGTTGACCTATGAACCAGGAGAAGGTTATGGTTTGATTCCTGGTCAGGGCCCATGCTCTGGTTTCTGGCTCGGTCTCCAGTAGGGGGCATGCAGGAGACAGCTGATCAATGATACTCTCTCATCATTGATGTTTCTATTTCTCCCTCTTCCTTCCTCTCTGAAATAAAATTAAAATTATAATTTTAATATAATTTTAAAAATTATATTAAAAAACAAAAAAACATTACATTATTTGAGTTGAGGTCTCTGCAGCACATCCACATAGAAAGGCCCAGGAGACCATTCTGTAGGTTTGGAGCTCGTGACAGAGGTCTGGGTGATGGTAGAAAGTTAAGAATGGAAGAGGTAGTTGTAGTCATGGGATGGAACTGGTTGCTGTGGGAATGTTTGTGATAATAATTGCAGCTGCCATTTATTAAGCGCACTTACTGTGATCCAGGCAAAGTGAGAAGACGGAGCTCAGAGGAACACCAAGGAAGCAGAGAATTTATAGCCAATTAAAAAATGAGTATGTAAATGAAGTCACTTGCTGAAAACTATCTAGATGCAGCCTTAACTTCAGGATCTATCTGATACTCATGATCTTGAGTTTAGCTTTCCCACTAGATTCCTTTATGACCTTGGAATGTTCTGATTGAAGGTTCCCTGGATTTTAGCATAGGATCAGATGCTTTAATCTGTCAGTGAAGTATAGAGAAAAAAATTCTCTTTTGGCAGAACTGGGAAGCCAGACTTGGCATTTTGAAACAAATACTGAGAGTACTAATTTCTTTTAGGCCCTGAAATACAAAGGACATAAGGTGCCCTCCTGGATATATCCTGTGCAGATAGTGGTATTCTTGACCAGAGGTGCCCAGATTTTTGGTCTCAGGACTCCTTAATGCACTTTAAGCTCTTTGAGGTCTTAAATATATATATTTTAGTGTGGGATATATATCTTGACATTTACCATATTAGAAGTAGAAATATTAACTCTTTAGAAATAAGTCCATTACAGGTTAATATAAGTAGCATTTTTTAAATTAAAAAAGCTGTTGTTTCAAAAGATTAGTGAGAAGTATGTCATTGTTTTTACATATATCTTTTTAGAAGACAGTTGGATTTTCATATCTTTTTCTGCATTCATTTGGTTGGGATGTGTTGTTTGGTTGAATTATGAAGAAAATTCATCCTCACACAGATGTTTAGTTGGAAAAAGGAGTATTTCTATAGCCTTTTCAGATAATTGTGGGTATGCTTCTTTGGTACTTCACAAAAGTTAAGAAAGGGTGGTTTGTGAAGGTTAGTTGCAATGTAGAATCTGAAATGATACTAGTGAACTTTTCATACTTTGTTACAGCAAAATCCATTGGTCTATTTCACTTTGACCAGTAACATTGTGTCATAGGTATTTGGAAAATACTGAGTTATGCAGATCTTCCAAATGTTGTCACATTTTACTATACAGCATTAAAAAATCATACCACATTGTCACCACACTCATTAGGAAAATGGTTACATATTGGGAAGCTGTCAAGCTCATGGTGGCAGATACAAGTTTGCCAAAATTCTAATTTTCTCTTGGAAGCTTAAATTTTGTTATTGGCAACAAATACTGTCAGTTGTTTTCCTTGACATGACAGACTCATGTTTTGTTCTCTCCCCCAGAAAATATCTGCCAAATACCAAAGTCTGACTAACCCATCACGTGTGTGTCATTCATTCTTTCAAATAAACAGGGTTCCACGGGAGGTTTTTGCAGTCAGATGTTTGCTGAGACAACCATCATCTCCTGTCTGCACATAAGTGTTTTATATGTGCTTCTCATTTTGTCACACAGAATATTAAAAAGGCATACTTGAGGTTGAGACTTAATTTTTACTGTGTCATCAAGGACAGTCTTAGGTAAAGCTGGCAGTTACTCACTCACAGTATGGTGATGAAGTATGTGGTGATAAAGGACCAAACTTGGTGCCATCGTCTCAATTCCTGCTCAGACACCAGTGTTTTGACCCACCATTGCTTTTGCATCATCAGTGGAAAGACCAGCACAGTAAAAAAAGACAAACCACACCTAAGTTTTGTTATGAATATAGTTCCACTTAGCAGAACTCCTGAGAGGATCTAGGGGTTCCCTCAGATTCTATGGACCATACTTTGAGGACCACTGCTCTAGAGCTTACCTCAAGAGGAGGAAAAGAGGGTACTTTCAAGGCTTCAGGGGAGCATGTCTTCTAATTATGTTATTCATTCAACTGTTTCTTTTTTTTTTTTTTACTTTTCAGTAATTTGTAGATTTACCTCCCTTAGCTCTAGCTGCTGTGAGCTGTATTTTCCCCTCAGGTGTTTTTTTGTTTGTTTTGTTTTTGAGAGAGAGAGAAAGATAGAAACATAGATTTGTTCCACCTGTTCATGAACTCATTGGTTGATTCTTGTATGTGCCCTGACGGGTGATTGAGCCCACAGCCTTGGCATATCGGGACAACACTCTAACCCAGGGGTCCTCAAACTACGGCCCTCGGACCACATGCAAATACAAATATTGTATTTGTTCCCGTTTTGTTTTTTTACTTCAAAATAAGATATGTGCAGTGTGCATAGGAATTTGTTCATAGTTTTTTTTTTTTTAAATATATTTTATTGATTTTTTACAGAGAGGAAGGGAGAGAGATAGAGAGTTAGAAACATCGATGAGAGAGAAACATCAATCAGCTGCCTCCTGCACATCTCCCACTGGGGATATGCCCGCAACGCAGGTACATGCCCTTGACCGGAATCGAACCCGGGACCCTTCAGTCCGCAGGCCGACGCTCTATCCACTGAGCCAAACCGATTTCGGCCATAGTTTTTTTTTAAACTATAGTCCGGCCCTCCAACGGTCTGAGGGACAGTGAACTGGCCCCCTGTTTAAAAAGTTTGAGGACCCCTGCTCTAACCAACTGAGCTGCCTGGCCAGGGCCTTGCCCTCAGTTTTGCCAACTCCTTTTGCAGTGCTCTGTGTTCTGCAGAGCTACATATCTCAACATATGGTACTGACTTTCCCTACTCATTAGGGCTGGGATGGGCGCCTTCCTTTTAAAAGTTCGTTGCTGCCCTGACCGGTTTGGCTCAGTGGATAGAGCGTCGGCCTGCGGACTCAAGGGTCCCAGGTTCGATTCCGGTCAAGGGCATGTACCTTGGTTGCAGGCACATCCCCAGTAGGGAGTGTGCAGGAGGCAGCTGATTGATGTTTCTCTCTCATTGATGTTTCTAACTCTCTATCCCTCTCCCTTCCTCTCTGTAAAAAATCAGTGAAATATATTAAAAAAAATAAAATAAATAAAAATAAATAAAAGTTCGTTGCTAATAATAATAATCATAATAATAATCATAATTTCATTGTTCCTCCAACTTTCTTTAGGGAGATATAGCTTGGGATTTATCTCATAAGATAAAATGAATCTGGTTCCTGTACTCCTCCCCATTCTATCTGGTTCTGCATAAGTCAATTCTATCTTGTAGCACAACTACTGAGCAATTAAAGTAATCTCATCAGAGATCTTTTGAATTGTAGACTCGGAACCATTTCTAATGTCCTGAGTTCCCCTACCGACCAAGGAAACACTTAGATGGAGGAGAAAAAGGAAACTGCAGATCCCAAGAGTCACACACCCT